ATTATAAGCAGCCTAGAGTCACTTAGGTGAGATAGGTGATGTAGAAATATGATAAATAAAAATAAATAAATGATGAAACTGGTGTCAGTTACATCATGCCTCTGATTATAACCTATGAATTAGAAAGCTCCCTGAATGGATTTCAATTGAAACTCATAAAAAAGCAGCATTAAGGAAGCCATGGCAGATTCAAGAAGGACAGTGCTTTTTGGGGGTAGGTTTTTTGACATTGCATGACTTATAGAGATAAAAAGATGAGTTGTGACATCTGGCTTTCTAGGAACCATCCTTTTGAGGCTGATGGTGGGGCAGCTTTAATTTGGGAGAAATTGCTGCTTTTTGCAAAGACTAGCCACTATTTTTGCCTGGTTGCCTATCCTTTTTCCTGGCTAACTCATATATGTAACTCATATATTCAAGAAATAATCAAAAGTTGCAGATCAACAAGAATGTGACTCTGATAAAACAACACTGCAGACTTTTTTTAAAAAAATCCTCCCGGCTTAATATCTTCACTTTCTGATGACTTGCTCCTTCACTGCATTGTGATACTTTTTGAGACTCTTATTTCTTGACTTATTCTCTAAAGCACTTGAGGGCAGAACAAGAGGTAATGGATGGAAGATTATCAAAGAGAGATCCAACCTAGAATTAAGGAGAAATTTCCTGTCAGTGAGAACAATTAATCAGTGGAAAGATTTGCCTCTGGAGGTTTTCAGGAAAAAAAACTGGACAGGCATTTGTCTGAAATGGCATAAGGTCTCCTACTTGAGCAGGAGGTTCAATTAGAAGACCTCCAATGTCCCTTCCAACTCTGTTATTCTAAGTTCTTTGTAATTGGTGTTTTTCCTTTGGAAACCAAATATTGTATCTTTTGGTGCACAGTGTCATTCATTTATTCATTCATTCATTCATTCATTCATTCATTCATTCATTCATTTACTCATTCATTCATTCATTCACTCACTCATATTCCAATGTCCTTTCTCTTGCCCTACACTCCTCTCTTCCTGAATCTTTGTTCTTGTCCATTGCAAGGTGAATGACTGAACTGGCAAACTAGCATCTTTTGTTCTGGGGAAGCAAGGAAAAGGAAGCATCTTGTCTCCCAGGAGTCGGAAGCAAAGAATAGGAATTGGGGAGCATCATGTATGCAGGCAATGCAAGCCATTACGACTGCCACAATAAAAAGCTCATAAAACATCCAAGCAAAATCCCCAGACGGATTCTCAGCCTTCTGTGCTTCCAAAGCAGAATCCCAGACACAGTTTCTGACTGCTGAGGAGAATGTTGATAAAAGCTCAAAGACCAGAGGCAGCCTTTCCAGTTTAATTTCCTTCTGCTTGGCCTTTGTTTTCCTCGCTCAGGTTCTTTAATTAACCTAGCCTGCACTAGCCCTTGGCTTGAAGCAGATTAGAGTACATTTGTGCATGGTTCTACTCTGTACAGAACATTCTGAATCTTGTCACAGCTGCTACAGACACAAAACAGCCATTCGCCGCAGCTCCAAGACTGCTAAATGAGAAAAAAAAAAAAAACCCTTCCTTTGAATCTCAGCTTTTGAAATCTTCCCACCTTCATTCTTTTGCTCAAAGAAAAAGCAAGCGAACTGCAAATATGTGATAACATAGAACACACGATCTCAGTATGGCTTCCCTGGGTTTCTTTTAAGCAGCCAGATATTTGTGTGATATTAGAAACCGTACGGCGATGAGCCCATAATGGAAAGGGTCCCATTCTTCGTTTGTTCCCATTGAATATCAGCCAGCAGAAAAGTTGTGATGTCTAATGGGGTACAGAGGGAAACAAAAATGGAAGAAGGAAATCCTTGAGTCCCACACCAAGTGCATTAGGCTAGCACTTCTTAGCGTCAGCGTGGCTCTGCTTTTGACAACAAAGGGATTGTAGACAAAGATCTGAAGTGCTGAATTGCAACAAGCTGGAAAAAAAAATTAAGCTTGGATTCCAATCTCACATTTTCTGCTGTATTGAGGGAAGATACCAAGACAACCTATTTTACAGAGCCCTGTTAGATTAGAAATTAATAGAAATTAAATAAATGAAGATAACACTAAGCTATGACTGTAATTTTGTTACTTGTATGCTTACAATTTATATTGATATTGTTTCCTGATTGTTTATTTGTACCCTATGACTATCATTAAGTGTTGTACCTTATGATTCTTGATGAACGTATCTTTTCTTTTATGTACACTGAGAGCATATGCACCAAGACAAATTCCTTGTGTGTCCAATCACACTTGGCCAATAAAGAATTCTATTCTGTTCTATTCCATTAATGGTTATGCTCACTTTGCTGCTTCAGATGAAGTAAGAAATTCCAGGGTCATGTAACTTGCCCAGCTTTCATTCCTTTTTTCAAAGAGGTCATAAGGCTGGTTGAGATTTTTGGTTGGTTTGGGTTTATTTGCAATTATACAAGTCAAACATATGTGGAAGCAGAGAGTAAAAAATGTAGCACATGCAGGTAGTCCTTGACTTATGACCAGGAGTTGGGACCAGAATTTCCATTGCTAAGCAAGGTGCTTGTTAAGTGAATCCCTCCTGATTTTACAATCTTTTTTCCCTACAGTTAAGCAAATTACTGTAGTTGTTAAATAAATCCATCTTCCCCCATTGACTTTGATGGCTGGGCGGAAATGGGGATTTTGCAGTAACCTTCCTCCAGGAATGGGGAGGGAATGGAGATTTTACAGTATCCTTCCCCTGCCACGCCCACCAAGCCACGCCACGCTCACCAAGCCACATCCACAGAACCGGTAGTAAAAAATTTTGCAACCCACCACTAGGAACATCACTGGGGAACCGTAGCCCTGCCAACCTTTACCCTGTGCAATGCCTGTAATTCACATTACAGAGAGACATGGCTTTTCATGCCTGATCATACTCACCAGTGAAGCTGGTGATTCTTGCTGTAGGTATCCTGGGAACCCACTTCCCTACCTGGAGAAAGAACCATCATCTTTCCCAATCTGGCATCCTGGTTGGTTTAGAGATGTAGTTTCCAGGTTTTGGATCCTCCACTGATCTTCAGCTGGCCTAGAAATTGTGAGAATAGCAGTTCATCAGTCTCTCTTGAGATCATCATTGCATGGCTTAAACCTGTTTAAAACTGTTGTTTGAATTAGTTCACAGCAATGTGTGCCTCATGATACTGCAGATACTTTCTCAGTGGTTCTTGGGTGCCATCCTCCTCCCTTCCTCAGCTGTTGCTGATTTTTATTAAGCTGAAAATAAACTTCTTGACTGGATAAGATAAGAGAAGGTAGGAGCTGGAATAAATTAATTTTAAAGAAGTAGATGTGTCTTTTTATCAGTCTTCTTTGTCATACAAAGCTTTTGCAACTGTTCAAGGTAACAATAGCTGAATTCCGGCAGTCAGATTTTGACAAAATGTGATATATAGCAATCGACATTGCCTGTTTTTGGTTACTGATACATAGCAGTTTTGAAGATGTGAGTTTCTGTTTGATGACTTGCAATAACACTGAGTAATTCTAATCAGTAAAATCTCCCTCTGCTCGCTTTCCTCCGTTCTGTATTATTCTCCACAATGAAATCAAACTCTGATTCTGAAATTCAAACACTCTGATTTATCTCATGCAATTTATGCCAGTTTCTTTTGTTGGCTATGGTTTCTCAGTGTCAGTAGCAGGATTAAAGTGCTATGCTTTCACTTTAAAGTGACTAAACGCAGCCTTCCTTAAACTGGTGACTTTCATATGTTACATTTATTTATTTATTTATTCATTTATTTTGTCGCATTTCTATGCCGCCCAACTCCCAAGGGACTCTGGGCAGTTTACAACAAAGAGATTCCATCATCTCCTAGCCAGCATAGAGATTAAAGGATAACATACTGGAGGGTATTAAAGTGAGAAAAGCAGTCTTAATGGCTTGAGAGCAAAATAATCTTTAGTAACAGTAACAGAGTTGGAAGGGACCTTGGAGGTCATCTAGTCCAACCCTTCTGCTCATGCAGAAGACCTCTACTAGGGATTCGAACTGCTAAACTGCCGACCTTTCTGATCGACAAGCTCAGTATCTTAGCCACTGAGCCATATGAACCATTCAGATATCAAGGGTTGAATGTGGCATTGGGGGGCCCTTTTTTGAATCTCCATAGTGGTAAATATATGAGACTCCATGGGCCATTTCCATGGTGGCCTTCAAAATATGGCAAGTGTTCCCTAAGCAGATATTTTGTATAAGTAGACACTCAATCACTCAATGTTTCAGTAACAACTGGTTCTCAGATGTTATTTTTTTAGCATCTACTCTCATGTACATTTGAACATGTTTTAATGTATTGATTGTTGTGAATAATGAATAATTATTAGAGAAGCATATTTTATCCCTATAATAGATAGGATATTTATTCATAGGAAATACATCCTAGGGCAATATTTCCCAACCTTGGTAGCTTTAAGATACATGGACTTCAACCAGTAGTGGGTTTCAATTTCGGTCACTACCGTTCGCTCGTGGGCATGCCTATGTGCTAACGTGCCCCCGCTATGCTTTTGCGCATGTGCAGAGACATCCGGGCAGGTTGGTAGAGCCTCCCGCCACCGCCTCTACCAGTTCGCCCGATCCGGGGCGAACCGGTAGCAACCCACCACTGACTTCAACTCATCGTTATTATTTCTTCTCTTTTGCACCTTAAAAGCATTTTGGCGGTGTGAATCCAACATAACCAGGTTAGTTAAAAGTTGTTGCTGAATCTACATACTACACTTGGGTTGTTTGTTGCTTAGCATGTTGTACAAAACTAACTAGTTCAAGATTTAACATATTTTTCATATTCGGAAATGAAGTCAGTCATCAGTAGTTCATCAATTAAGTGTGTTGAGTGAACACAACCAGAGTGTGATCCCAGTGAAATTATCTGCTGATGTTAATTTTAATTGTAAGATGTGAGAGGATTTTCCCACCCTCCAGAATCAAAAAATAAGCATGTGCTTTTCCTCTCTTCTTAGTTTTCAGCCTGTACCACCAAAGACCACCCAGTTTACATGTCTGTCTATAACAACGGCACCAAGATGCCTTCACCACAGGAGGCATCCAATGGCTTCCCCCAGCCCAGTGCCTCAGGCACTTGGCATAAACCAGAAGAGGAAGTGCGACTGGTAGAATCTGGCTTGGTGAAGAAGGCACACCGAGAAATCCTGGACCATGAGCGGAAACGGCGGGTGGAGCTGAAGTGCATGGAACTGCAGGAGATGATGGAAGAGCAAGGGTAAGTGAAGGTTGAGTGAGTGAGGGGTCCTTGGTGCTCCCTGAGCTTGGTCGTTTCCTTGCAAACATTTCATTACCCAAACTAGATAACGTCATCAGTGCTATTGGTTGAGTGAGTGCTTGTTTGACCTAGTACCCGAGTTTGCACAATAGCTACCCCAATGTTTCTGAGAGATTTACCCTGTCAGGCTTCTCAGGACAAACCAGAATCAGAAAAACAGATTCAAGAACTTCTAATACATATATTGAAGAAAAAGTAATGGAGCTATTGTGAATAGCAGTGGTGGTGCAGTGGTTAGAATTCAGTATTGCAAGTTAATTCTGCAGACTGACAGCAGTTCAATTCTCACCGGCTCAAGGTTGACTCAGTCTTCCATCCTTCCGAGGTGGGTAAAATGAGGACTTAGATTGTTGGGAGCAATAGGCTGACTCTGTAAACTGAGGGCTGTAAAGCACTGTGAAGCTGTATATGCTATTGATATTTGATATTGTGAAAGAATTCCAATAATTGCTGTGTATTAAATGGAAGCCCTATTTATAGTGAAATTAAAGATCAAATTCCCATGTGAGTCTTTTGCTCATATGATGTAATGGTTTCCATCTACCTCTTGATTTGGTAATAATCCCACCTTGTTTCTGGTTATTTGCTTGTGGCCCTTCTAGAACTGACTGTCATATACCCACATTGTTCATACAGGAAAACAGCATCATGGTCAACGCCACCTGTCTACAATGCTGGGGAACTGTCTCTAGGAGAGTTTGACCAATTGAATTCCTTTTGGATGTTCTGTCTTGTTCCCATCTCAAATTCTGTCCCTTTTTGCTTCTGCACCTGCCATACCACACAAAATTTATACACCACATTAAAGCATAATGTAATAATAACAGCTACTCAGTAGCAGAGTCATCACGCTGAAAGATGGGCAGCAAACAAAGTTAATACATAAAAAATTCCTTTTTTTAATAACCAAGTAATTCCTTTATTCAGGGTAGAGTTGGGGTAATTGGATGGAGCTGAGCATTTACTGACCAGATGCCCTTCATGATGCCACGTGGTAGTTCACAGCAGGTATTTTTTTTCTTTGCGTCCTAGGACAGGAACATCTATCGCTACCTAGGATTGAACTCTCAACCTTCCAAGTGGAAGGCGAGCATCTTCATCACTAGGCCACCACGCCGCTCTAATAAATACATAAAATAAATAAATAAAAATTGTGTATTGAATAGGCTACCTTTGGCACATTCAGCAATTCTAGTTCATAAGCCATAAAAGTCAAAGCAAAGAAATCATTATTTTAGCAGGTTACATGAAACCAGCCACAGGTTTGGCAGAGAATATTTATATAGATTGTCACAGGAAAACCCTAAAGTTTAAAGAACTGTAAAATGAAGATGCATGCCCAGGTATATAGATATCATAACAGTTAATAGCAAGTAAGAGATTGCTTTTTTAAAAACAACAACAATATTTTCATCTAAGGGAAATGTACTGCAAATGAACACACATACACATCTAATCCATCCTTGTAAAAAACAGTATGTGAAGGGGAAGCCTCTTTGCTTAGGTTTTCCACACACTGAGACCTCACCTTTTTTTCCCTACAAGAGAGTAGTAAAAAATGCAGTTCTTCCCATCACATGAAATCTCAAATATTATGATTTACCTGCTAGTCTACCATAGACTTGCATAATCCCCAAAATTGTAGGGAAAAGGTATGCTCTGATTACTGGCTAATCCGCTATTCAGATTAAATCAACCTGAACATGAATCTGTATAGTTCAGATTTGCTGCAGGGCATCATCCGCTTGAGTGACGGGTTTCCTGCATCTTTGAGAAGAAAAACCAGTTAGGGGAAGAGAGGTGTTTTGCTCTTAATGTTGGAAAGAGAGATCCCCAGGCAGTGCTGTCTTCCATTTCAACCCTGCTTCGCTTTTCTGGGTTTTTTTTTAACTACTGTGATGCACCAAGGGATCGATGCATCACAGGAAGCAGGGGAGCAGAAGGCCACTGGGAAGGTATGACATGAGTTTTTCTGTCCTCCTAAAGGGACGTGGTGGCTCAGTGGCTAAGACGCTGAGCTTGTCGATCGAAGGGTCGGCAGTTCAGCGGTTCGAATCCCTAGTGCCGTGTAACGGGGTGAGCTCCCGTTACTTGTCCCAGCTTCTGACAACCTAGCAGTTCAAAAGCACCTAAAAATGCAAGTAGAAAAATAGGGACCACCTTTGGTGGGAAGGTAACAGCGTTCTGTGTGCCTTTGGCGTTTAATCATACTGGCCACATGACCACGGAGACATCTTCGGACAGCACTGGCTCTTTGGCTTTGAAACGGAGATGAGCACCACCCCCTAGAGTCAGGAACAACTAGCATATATGTGCGAGGGGAACCTTTACCTTTTAAAGAGAAGCAGCTGCTTCTAACTCAGCCAGCTAGTTTGTGACTCAGATTTAACTAGCAGCAACAACTATCTTAAGAAATCAAGCCTGTCAGATTCACTTCCTTGTCATTGGCAGAAGCCCAGGAGGAGGCCCGTCTTCCATTGCTCTCAGTAGAAAGACAGCATTATAAGAAAAAAGAGAATGCATACCCCAAATGACATATATTTGATTAGAGGCTCCTAACTAATCAACTAATTGGCTAGGATTTTTAAACAGATTAGTGATACATTCAGAAAGTCATTAGCCTAGCAAAATAGATCCTTTATATCTGGATATGGCATTATCACTGCCAATATCTGTCCAGCATTCTCTCATTTAAGTTAATTGCTTGGTGAACAATGCAAAATGCAAATTTCATCACAGTCCAAGTGGCAATAATGTACATATCTGCCAGCATCTTTTATTCTTCGTTCCTTCATTCTTCATTCTATGAAACAATATATTAAAAGAAACTATGAAAAAAAAAAACCCTGAGTATATTACCGAAAACTAAAAACATACTGATGGTAACTGAAGTATAAGTTTAGATAAGCAAGATTGTGCTTCTTAGGCAAAGCTATGCATAAAAACATAGATTTTCTCTAAATACAATTTGCAAAAGAATCAGAATAAAATAATGTTGGTACATGTGATGCTTAAATGTTTCCTGCATGTTTGCAAGACTCCAAGAAACCTATAGATAGGATATTCATTTGCAGAACCTCCACTTTTCAGTGCATCCTATGCAGGGGTGGGTTCTACTTACCTTTACTACCAGTTTGCAATGGGAAGCTTCTGCGCATGTGCAGATCGCCGATGACGACAACCAGGCGGTGGGCAGGGCCTCCCACCGGTTTTACTTCCAGTTCTTATGAACCGGTCCGAACTGGGGGCAACCCACCACTGATCCTATGTCAATATTTTTTCCCTAATGCTTTTTTGACCACCAATATAATCGGACAGTAAATAGGTAAATGGGGAAAATCCAAAATACAGGTAGTCTTACAAGAGTTCGTTCACTGACCGTTCAAAGCTGCAGCTGCACTGAAAAAAGTCACTTATGACCATTTTTCAGACTTATGACCATCGCAGCATCCCCATGCTTGGCAACTGATTCATATTTTTGATGGATGCAGTGTCCCGGCGTCATGTGATCCCATTTTGTGACCTTCTGACAAACAAAGTCACTGGGGAAGCAGATTCACTTAACAACCATGTTACTAACTTAACAACTGCAGCAATTCATTTAGTAACTGGTTATGTTTTTGTTACCTATAATTATTTGGTATATATAATTGCGTGAGTTTGGGCACAATTATGCAAATTGGGCACCCCTATGCATCTTATGAATAAACCAACAAATGAATAAAGGGAAGGCAAAGAGAACCAAGGAATACAGGGGAGGTGGTTATAGGTTATGATTTACAAACCTCTTATCAGATGATTGCTTTTGGGGGCTTTCTTTTCATTCCCCCCCATCAACTTTTCTAGTTTATTTCGAGAACAAGATAAAAGGAATCTGACATTTTGTGTTAACTGCTTTCTATTCATCCTAATTCCATACATGGCTGTCTGCAGAGGGATGAGAAAAGTGTACATGACAGCCATAGCCATGCTTTCAAAGCCCCATGATTTTATGCGCATCGCATTATGTGACTTCACTCACATGGCTGTGCCCATCATCTAACTTTTACACCTCATGAAACACCTCTGATTCCATCATTCCTTCTTCCCCAATGCTCTGTATGACATTCTATATGTTATTTATTTAGTGGCATCTCTACAGTGTTCCTTGGGTAGAAATAGTGATGCAAATATTCTCTTAGCAAAAGTGAAGGATGCTCCTTGCGTCTGTTTGTGTGAAACACTGCAGGTTTTTTTGCCTGGATATATCCCTACAGCGTAGATCATTGTGCTACATACCTCTCACAAATAGTCGGAACGCAAGAAAATATTTTCTTCTGTATATTTTTGCAAAAAAGCCCTACCTCTGGATGTCTGTTTGGCATACCATCACGCTATTGATCCGAAGATAGTCTTTGATGTACGACCCTAAATGAACTCACAGTGATGGTTGTAAATCACGACAGTCGTTTAGCTAGTTATCATATGACCATGCCCAATTTCACAACCTTTTTTTGCAGCTGTGGTTAAGTGAACACCGTGGTCGTTAAATGAATGCTGCAGTATTAGGCTAACCCATTGTTCACTATGGAGAGGGTTTTTTTTTCTGGTAACTGGAAATAAAAGCTGGTTTTCAGCAAAAATGTTGTAAATGGCGATCATGTGAAAACAAAAAAAAAATTGCTGCTTTTCAGCAAAAACGTAAATTGCACAACGCTTGAAACAGCTATGAATACAATTTAAGTTGCTAAGCACCCAAAATATAGTCATGTGACTGCAAGGGGTGCTGGACCATCAGAGCTTCAAATCAGGTTGTAAGTAGCTTTATTGTCTGTTGTAACTTCAAATGGTCTCTAAGCAACCCATTTTAAGTCCTCAACCCATTCAGGACTACCTGTAATTGTGTCAGAAATGGGAAGTTACAGCTGTTTATGTATCTACTGAAAAAAATGGCCTATTTT